TCTTGGCTTGTTTCCCAGCACCCATGTGGTGGCTCCCAACCATCTGTAACCATCTGATGTCCTCTTCTGGCCTCCACAGCCACTGCAATTACATAGCACACATACCTAAGTGCAGGTGGGGAACTCACAAAAAATAAAATCTTAAAAATGAAATGAAATAGAATGGGAATAATCACCAGGATTGGGAGAAACTAAGGTTTACTGTCATGCTAAGTAGATGAGGTAAATAACCAAGGGCCTAGAAACTGGCTTAGTGGTTAGGAGTATGTTAAAATAGATGGTCATAAATCTGTACTAATACAAGTACAGACCAATACAAAGAAAAGATGTCATAGGAGTGCAGTATTGCTAGAGGAATGATTAGGGAGTTGAGGGTGTTAAGAAAACAACTGTTTCCAGAACATAAATTTTTAGAATATTCGAATTTAGAAATAGGTATTCCTGTATCACGAGGTCTAAGGTAGGATCATGGATATCTGAATAAAAACTACAACTACTATTTATGGCATATGTACAAATACATGTTTATAAGAAATGTGTCCTTTTTCCCTTTAATTTCTAAGCATTGTTATTAGTTAGGTATTCTAGTTCCTGCTTAGACATGAGAGAGAACTCTGAGAACTCAAAACCCAAAAGCTAAGAAAACATTGAAACTGAATCTGAAACAATGTAAAAACCTTTCTTCAAAGACATCTAGAACTTGACTCCCAAACTTCCTGGAAAAGAACATTTTTGGTTTCCTTCCTGTTGCTGTGAGAATATATTAAAAAAAGAAAGGGATAAAGGTGTTTATTTAGCTAACAATTCCAAGTTATAGTCCATTGCTGCAGGGAAGTTGAGGTGGCTACCTTGTATGAGATGAGCAAAATATCTACAACTACCCCCAAGTAAGAAAAACTACTCTAACAGGAAAAAGACTAATACACTTCAAGTTGCAATAGGGTATAAAGAACAGCATGGTGATTGGGTGAGGACAGCATGAGACTGGTGTGGGGGAAATGGATAGCTGGTTGTGTAGTGTGAACTTGGTATGCCTATCCTCCTTAGTTATTCAGTAAAACACTAAGTGTTGCCATAAAGTCATAAGCTTAAACAGTTCACTTTGTGTAGGAAAGAGTTTGAATAATCTAGGTGGGCCTAGCTCTATCAATTGTAATGTTTTAAAAACAGACAAGGCTGTTGTTTTGAGAAGAATAGAGTTTCAACCAGCTCATGTCCTTTATGGAGCAGGGAGAGGCCATCCAACATAGGCTTTCCTCTGTAAAGCCCTGGCTGTCCTGGAACTTGCTCCATAGACCAGCTTGGCCTCAAACTCAGAGATCTGTGGGCTCATGCCTCCCAGGTGATGGGATTAAAAGTGTGCACCACCACACCCAGCTCCAGCTCATGTTGTTACTTCCCCAGCTTGTTACGGATAAATCCTGGAGCACAGTCTACCTGTTATCTTCCATTCCAGTCTGCCTGTTCTACAGGTTTTGGATTTGTTTAGCCAAAATTTCTAACATGTATATCAATTCCTTAGAGATGAAAAGTAGGTAACAGTAAGGGGTATGAAAAGTATTTTTGAGTTTCTACACATTTAAAGATTAAATTGACAGGACTTGCTACATGATATAAGACCCAAGATAGAAAATTCAATATGACTCTTGAGCCATGCAAATAAGATGACCAGGTGATGCTTCTATGTAGTAAAATGGAGTATTTGTTCTTATTGCAGTTCTCATTCCTACTTACTGTTTGGACACTTTAAAAATTGAAATAACAAAACATACATCTGTTAGTTCAGTCCACTTCTTATAGGATCTTGCTACTTTGTGCAGGCTGGTCTAGAACTAGAATTCAAGTGATCTTTCTACACCTCTACCAGCCAACTAGTAATGTGACAGGGCAACACAATACAGAGGTCCCTCCATCTTGTATTCTTGCTGAGGCCATTTTATGTTTAAATAGAATTTGTGGTGGTTTGAATAGGAATGGCCCCCATAGGGAGTGGTACTATTAGAAACTATGGCCTTATCAGAGTAGATGTAACCTTGTTGGAGGAAGTGCATCACTGCGGGCTTTGAGGTCTTATATGCTCAAGTTATGCCCAGCATAGCTCATTCTCCGTCTACTGCCTGTAGATAAAGATGTAGAACTCTCAGCTACTTCTTCAGCACCATGTCTGCCTGCATGCCATCATGCTTCTCACTTTGACAATAATGGACTAAATCTCTGTGAACTGTAAGCCAGGCCCAATTAAATGTCTTCCTTTATAAGAGTTGTCATTGTCATGGTGTCTCTTCACAGAAATGGAAACCATAACTAAGAACCTTATTGATGGAGAAACTCATGGGAAATTATTCTAGGAACTTAAGATTAAGATGCCCCAGCTAACTGAGCTTCTGTTAAGATTGCCTACTTGTGCAAACTTCCCCTTCCAGCTAACTGCTTTGCTTCTGTTAAACTACTTGCTTGCACAAAACATCCCCCTGCATCTGCTGAGATGCTGAAAGACCCACAGAGTGTGGACTTTCACGCTCCCACTCAGGAAAGGCAACACCCCAAATCACTCACGAGAAGTGGTCTTGATACAAAAGCATGAGGACTTTTAATTCCAAGTGCACTGGGGTCCACAGTCATATGCCACACAGGGTTGGAGGACTGAGGATCCTGAGTACAGAATTGAGACAGCTTTTATAGGGTTACAACAAAGCCCATGCATCGTAAACCAATCACTTCATAGCATCCAGAGCCCAGGTGCGGTGCTGACCAATTAATGTAAACCATCCAAGCCCTCGATTTATAGACCAATCAGTTTTCTACAGCCCTGGAGGTCTGCCATTTGTGCGGGCTCCTAGGTAGGGTGACAAATGGCAGTTAGATTAGGTCACTGGGGCAGGGGTTTCACAAGCAATTTACAAAGGTAAGTGGCAAGGAGTGTGACCTTTTGCCTATTTACTGGCTGAGGGCAGGGTCTGGAATTTAAGGTATTTAGTATTTTTAAACTTCTAGCTTCCTGGGGTCAGGGGATAGTTGGACAGTATTTTTTCATCCTTACAATACTAGGATGTGGTTTTGCCTTTAAAAAGTACTTACCCTAATCACCTGGGTCTACACTAGGGTTCCAAATACATGAGTATAGTACCAGTCACCAGGAATAAAGACTTGCAATTGGGTATAAACCATGTCAGAGTTATCTCTAGTGGCTCCCTAACAGTAACACTTTTTTGTCATCTTGGAAAATTCTCTTCTAGACCTTAGCTTAGGAAACCAATCACAAAAACATTATGTTTACAGCTCATAACACTGTATCTGTACTCAAATACTTTTAGGTCTCAAAGAAACCTGGTTCAAGTCTGTCAGTATCTGTGGCTCTTCCCAGAAACTCAACTCTACTTTCTACCTCAAACCTTTCCTTCCCTAGGACTGGGTTTCCAGTTCCCTTAACCTAGCCTGATCTCTCAAATGTTGCAATGCATGTCTTTTGACCATTTGGCCCAGACCATTTGCTAGCAGCTCCTTCCCTGGTCTTGTCTCAGACTTTTATTTAAATACAAGCAAACACTGTGTACTTTCCTGCTTGACTTAACAATTCTGTGCAAGTTTGGGTTAGAAATCCACACATGTTGCAATATAATGTAATTACAATAGTTTAATGTAAAATGTAGTACAGCAGCATTTCCCTTCTAACTTGTAGATTCTACTTGCTTTTCTAGGCATGTTTAAAGCTGACAGAAACTGCTTGACCTCCCAGTGAGTACTGTTTATGTTTTCAACTGTGTTATAGATGTCTCTGTGCTGCCAGAAATTAAAATAATTTGCAAATAAATAGTGAACGCTGGAGCTTTACTAATCCAGGCTGCTATAACCAGAATATAGTTCTAACAATTTTTCCACATGGGATCACTTACTCCAAACGCTGCTGGTGCAAACTACAAAATAACTGACTCGTTAGTAAAGAACAAAGGCACTGGAAATCTTGTTTCAATAGCTCATAAAGGAAAAGCAGAATCAAAATTTCGGCCACTGAAGGCGTGGTGCCTGTTAGGATAAAGTACGAGGGGGAACCTTGGCAGATTCCATGGCAGGAGGGACAAACGTGCCAGGTAGACAGAGCTTAAGTGAGAAGTTTTATTAGAAACGGGAGGGAAGGGGAAAGCAAAGAGAAAAAGGTAAAGAGACACAGAGACAGAGAGGACAGAAGAGGGAGACAGGAAAAGTCCTGTCTGCCCCGTGAGACAGCGGGAAAGAGAGGAATGGGAAAGAGAGCCTTGAGTGGGCGGGGTCTCTTTTACAGGGGTCCTTTGCACCTGGGCTGACCGGGCTCCTGCCTGAGTGCATTCTGCCAGGTGACAGGGGCAGGCCAGCGTAATGCCCGAGTCCTTACACTGCCTTCCCACCATCGCGCCGAGGAGCCTGTCTCAGGGCACGTACAGCCCTTCCTAGAGTCCTCCAAGACGGCGCCACGTCAAGGGTGCTGGACGTATCCCGAATTCCAAAGCACGTTTAAAAACCCTTTAGGAACCTTCCTCTCTTAACAAACCTGTCCTTTCTGGACTAACTATGCTGCTCTAGGGACGCTCCTTTGTTCTTTTCTCCCAACAGCTCACAGTAGCCAAAGACAAGATGGCGGCCGGGCTGGGTCTGCGTCCTAGAGGCGGAAGCAGCCCATCTCTACACACTTCCCCTGGGTCCATAAACCGCTGCTCCTTGGTTCCACCGCTAGGTCAGGCCGTAGTTCCGTGCTGCGACTGCGCAGCAAGGCTACGCTGTAGCGGAAACACGTCTAGGTTGCTGGGACGGAAAGGGAAGAGGCGTGACGCTTCGTGAGAATTCGGTCGCTCGCGAGAATTGAGTGTTGCTAGGAGACCTGGTAGGAGGGCGGGAGCAGGCTCGGCGGGGCGGAGCTGGGCGGAGCCTCAAGGGCTGGCGGCGGAACCTCGCGAAGGTTCCAGAGGCCTCGCGTGCGGAGGGCGGGGCCGCGGGATCGCGCCGGGTCGGCGTCGTTCCCTGTGCTGCTGTGTCGCTCTCGGGTGGCGTGTTCCGCGTTTCCTTTCGGCTCCGTTGCACCGGTGCAGCTCCGGCCTCGGGCCCGACCTCACCATGACTTCCACTTTGGAGGAGGTAGGGGTCGCCCTCGACCACTGGCCCACGCCGCCCGGCGGCTGCGCCTAACCCCGGGCTCGTGTCGGCAGCCATGCCCCTGTCGTGGGCCCGCGACCTCCGCGCCGCCACCTGCCTGGGCCCTGTGCGCACGGCCGCGGTCGGAAGGTCGGGGGTGTGTCAGGAGCCCAGCTGCCGGCGCGGGTCCCTCTCCGCTCCCGGCCACTGCCTAGGGATCCGGGACCTCCGTTAATCAGAGCTCATTGCAAACGCTGGTAGCTCCGGGCAGAGGGCAATTGGAAGGAATTCTGCACGGCTAGCCGTGATACCCTACTCATGGGTATAACCACAGCGTGGTTATACGTTCTGTGTTATTTCTAAACGCCCAGAGCTGCGCTTACGACTAGCTTTAGTCATTTAGCAGCGCCAGCGGCGGACCTGCAGGCCTTGCACATGCTAAGGCAAGCGCTCCAACATTGCTTTACATCCCCAATCTTTATGTAATAAGTGTATAAAATAATTGGAAACCTAGTTGTAGGTAATGGTAGATTGCATGGCGTCCGTTTTTTAGATCTGTAAACTACGGACGTGGGTGACTTGACGTTTTTGGAGCCTCAAGCTCCAAAACTCAGCTACAAAATAGGAATGGTAAGTGCTCGTTTTGTAGCTTATGTAGGCCTTATGTGATTGAAATACTGTGTTCACAGAAGCGTTGGCTATCTGTTAAGATTTCTTTCGAAAAATTTCCCCTCACTTTAAAAAGCAAGACATCCGCTTTAAAGGCAGAAAAATTAGGAAGTTATGTTAAAGTATTAATCTGGGTATCTTGCCACAAGTAAGTAGCCTCGGGTACCATGTGCTCACGTGGAGAGTCTAGGGCTACTTAACAGTTGTGCACATAGGTTCAGTAATAACCCTCTCCGAAGGAAGGAACTTTTAACTTTAGATTGGGGGGGTATGCATTTAGGGGCACATTTTTCTTTTGGGAAAAAAATTACCTTATTCCTTCATATTCAGATGTACAATTCAATTTTTCTGTTGTGCAACCATCAGTATTATTTAGTTGCAGAATATTTTCATTTCTTCAAAAAAGAAATCCATCGAGTGTTAGATTGGATAAGGCACCAGCTGGCCTGGTACCTTACATGTTTCTATTTCATCTGTGGTATATCAATACACCATTCCTTTTTATGGTTGAATGCTATCCCATTGAACATTCATCTGTTAGCACATGCTCATTTCTCCATTTTGACAATTTTGAGTCTTTGTAAACAAGTTTTGTTGTTTTGTGGGCATGTTTATGGGTCAGATAATAAGGCAAGTTTTGGGAACCTACCATTTCTGAAAGAATTGTATAAAAGATAGTAGTTCTCTGTATACTCAATAACATTTATTTTTCTTGGGTATTTGTTCATGATACTATCCAAGTGAGTGTGTGGTACCACTTTATGGATTTGTTGTATGTCTCCCTGGATGTGATACATATATGTGTGTATGTGTACCTGGTGCACAGTTCCATGTCTTTGGGGGGAAACATGGATTATTTTCCCATTTTGAGCAAGTTTTGTTTGCAGGAATAGGTTTCACTAAATAGTTTGGCCAAGCACATTGGTTTTGAGGTCCCTAGTGCACATTGATGAGGTAGATTTAAAGGAACATACATACATACAGAAAACAAATCCATGCCAAGAAGGCAAAAAAAAGTTGTGAGATAAAAGTAGATAGGAAACTGTCCTCAGTCACTCACCTTAAAGTCTGGATGCACTATTGGTTTCAGGGCTGCAAAATCAAAAGCCAAGCAACAATTCTTCTGTTGACACCTTACTAAAGAATCTTTAGAGCTAACACTGGCCATAAAGAGGCCTGGGAATTCTGCCATGAGTCGGCTAGAAAAGGGGTTCCCTTTCCAGTCAGAAGCAAAACCTCTTAGGTTTGATATGTTTCCTTTCTCCTTTTTGTTAAGTAAATCCCTATTCTGGTCATTTTGAAACCACTGAAGGATTTGGAACTTAACACCTTGATTATCTGTTCAAAAGATGAGTGTGCAGTTTTGGATCTTAGAATCATTATTTCTTGATTGTGAGCAGAAACATTTCTGATGTGCATTTTATAAACTGTTGTAAGTAAATACAACAAATGAGATCATAAAGGCCACGGAGAACTAGCCGTAGTAGTGAAGTAGAAAAGGCTAATTCCTTTCTACTTCAAATGCTACCTAATGTCTAGCATTTAAAAGTTTTTTAAAATAATTTTATTTCCTCCTCTCTCCAAGCCTTCCATTTGCTCCCCTTCAGTTTCATGGTCTCTTTTATTTCATTAGTTATTACATACCTACTCAAGTCTGTCTTCTTCCTTGGGGAAGCCTTTTTCATCTAGTCTTTCTTGTTTGCCTGTAGTTCTTTGGGTAGGGTTGAGATACCATGGACTTTCCTTTGAGATATCATGGACTTTCCTTTTTACTTTAGCATGTCTATTGTTGTCCTTACTCGTGTTTAGGCAGTTGTACTGGTAAGATTTTGGGGCGGGGGCCGTTGCTTCTATTTCTAGGAGACAATCTCACAACAAACTCAGATCCTCTGGCTCTTCAGTCTTGACCTCTTCCACACTTAACCCTGAGCCTTAGACGCCTTAGGTTAGGGAGTTATGTTGTAGATATATTCATTGGGACTGGATTCTTGCACACCTAGATTTTGATTGTGATTTTCTGTTATGGACTCTCAGTTGTAAATGGGTCATTTAAAGACTTAACATTAAGCCTTTTATTTAGTATGAAGGTATAAAGTAAGATTGTTGTTTTTATGATCAGGGTACCTAGCTCTTTTTTTTTAACATCCCAATCCCAGTTCCCCTCCCCCCTTCTCCTCCCATCTGCTGTACAGAGAGTGTAAGGCCTCCTCTAGGAAATCTGAGTCTATTGCATCATCTAGTTGAGGCAGGACCAAGGCACCTCTCTACTTCCACACCCCTGTGTCTAGGCTGGGCAAGATATCTCTCTCCATATAGAATGGGCTCCACTAAGTCAGTTTGTACATTAGTGTTAGGTCTTGGACCCACTGCCAGTGGCCTCATATATTGTCCTAAGACTATTGTCACCTATATTAAGGGTGTCTAGTTCAGTCTTATGCAGGTTCCATATTTGTCAGACCACAGTCATTGATCTCTCACCAACTCCCGTTAGCTGATTCTGTGGGTTTCCCCATCATGGTCTTTTCTCCTTTGTTCAGACTGTTGCTCCTCCCTCACTTTGATTGTACTCCAGGAACTTGGCCCATTAGTTGTGGATTTCTGCATCTGCTTCCATCTGTTTCTGGAAGAGGATTTAAGCTTCTCTGGGGTTATGGATTGCAGGCTGGCTATCTTTTGCTTTATGTCTGGTATCCACTTATGAATGAGTACATACTATATTTGTCTTCCTGGTTTTGGGTTACCTCACTTAGGATGGTTTTTTTTTTTTCTAGTTCTGTCCATTTGCCTGCAAATTATAGGGTGTCCGTGGTCATTTCTCACCGCTGAGTAGTACTCCATTGTGTAGGTGTACCACATTTTCTCTATCCTTCAGTTGAGGGGCATCTAAGTTGTTTCCAAGATCGGGCTATTACAAATAATGTTGCTATGAACATAATTGAGCAAATGTCCTTGTGATGTGAATGTGTTCAACAGAGGTATTGTAGGGTCTTGAGGTAGGTTGATCCCTAATTTTCTGAGAAGTCACTATACTGGTTTCTACAGTAGCTATAAAAGTTTGCATTCCACCAGCAATGGAGGAGTGTTCCCCTTTCTCCACATCTTCTCTGGCATAAGCTGTCATTGGTGTTTGATCTTGGCCATTCAAAGCAGAAAAATCTCAAGCATTTAATCACAGTAACATCAAAGCTTGATTGGATATTTTGTGTCTGTCTGCCTGTATATAACACGTGTGTAGATGCCCGTGATGGGCATCAGACACCCAGGAGGTGGAATTATAAAGACTTATAATTTCTGGTAAGCTTCTGGTGTGGGTGCTGGGAACTAAACAGCTAGTTTTTGGGAGAACAGAATGGGCTCTTAACTACTGAGCCCCTACCTATTGATTTTCTAGCATTGTCTTTAATGATGTCCCACAACATCATAATTATCTAGAAACTAGAAGAGTTATATGATGCATTGGAAGAAAACAGATATGCAAAGACCAATTCCCAAGAGTCATAAGGGATTTGATACCCAAGGTTTCCTTTCTTGGTCTCAAATTCTAACCAAAAGATCGACCCAACTGATGAACAAGACTTTTTCTTGAAAGCAGAATATTTTTATGTGTATTTGCCATGGCACGTGTAGAGATAAGGAAGCCTTCACCTGCGTCCTGGGAATTGAACTCTGCATCAGGCTTGGCAGTGAACACCTTCATCCACTGAGCCATCTTGGTATTTTACTTTTTATCTTTAGTCTTAAAAATTCACATTCTGAGATAGGAAAACCAATCACTGAAAGTGCAGCCTTTGTCACCTCAGTAAAGTTGCCTTCGCTCTTCCCAGTCAAATGAATTCTCACCTTTTACTACAATATTTAAATTTTTCTAATATTTGATGCTTAGACTTGGTGTTACAAGGACATCTATAAATATTTTCCTTCTATTTTTGTACTTTTTTAAAACAGGCAGGTGCCAGCCTACCAAACTGGAAAGTAAAGACAATTACTATTGATTTAAGATTGTTTTCCTTTAATGAAAACAATGTGTGGCTTATTTACAAATCAGTAAACAAGAAGAAATAATTACTTTTGAAACTCTTAAAAAACTAAAATGAAAAAAAAACATTAAAATGAACTTATCTTTTTGTTTTATTTCATTAAGTTGAATTGGGTGGTAGATCTTATTTTTACCCTAACCTACTTCTACCTTAACACAGTTGCAGAAGGACCTAGAAGAGGTCAAAGTGCTACTGGAAAAGTCCACTAGGAAAAGAGTGCGTGATACTCTTTCAAGTGAAAAATCCAAGATTGAGATAGAAATAAAGAACAAGATGCAGCAGAAATCACAGAAGAAACCAGAACTTGACAATGAAAAGCCAGCTGCTGTGGTTGCTCCTCTTACAACAGGATACACTGTGAAAATCAGTAATTATGGTATGACCCGTTCTGCTATATGTAGTGTTCTGCCAAGCAGGAATAACTACTTCATAATGAATTTGTGTTACGTAGTCTTTTGTATGAAGTTTGTGCTCTTTATTTGTAATGTTAACATTTGGTGTGGGTTAGATACTATTATATAGTATAACAGCATATACCAAGGTGGCATTAGATACTATACTTACTGGGAGGCCAAATTGACAGATTTATGGTGAAGAATTGGGATCTTTTATCTATTTACTTGTTTGAGCTTTGCTTTTTTGTGTGTGAGATAGTTGCTTGTTGTCTATGCTGCCCTTGAACTGTGGAGATGCTCCTACCTTCCCTACTGAGTGATGGGGTCACAGTTGTGCGCCACTAGTCTCATTCTGTTTTATTCTGAGGCCAGGCATTTTGATATGTTATCTAGACTGTTTTCAAGAGATCCTCTCATTTGTGCCTTCCAAGTAACTGGAAACCTAGCTGTGCATCATGGTGCTGTGCTTAGGAATTGGGTTCTTAAACTATTCTATGTCTTGAAAAGGCTGCAGTTGCATTTTTTTTTAGACTGTTGAGAAGTAGAAATGGTTATTGAATTAAACAGTATTGTTGTTTAGTCATTCAGTGTAGTGGAGAGTTGTTAATTTCCCAGAGACAGGGTCTGAGTATGTGGCCTGCTGGCCTTGAACTTACTGTTGAATTGATGATGACTTTGAACTCCTGATACTCCTGTTTCCATCTTACAAGTGCTGGTGTTATAAGTGTGTACTCCCCAAGGTAAGATCAAGTTTTAGATGGAGGGCAAAATTATTTAACAAAACAAGTAAATGAGCCAATCTTCTTGTATTTGATGGGCATAGTGGCACATTCCTGTAATCCTAGCTGCTTGGGAAGCTGTGCTAGGAAGATTGCAAGTTTGATGCCAGCTTTTGGTGGTTTAGATTTTAAAATAGAAAAATTTGAGCTGGAATGAAACTCTGGTATTCATAAAGCTAAGGGTTCGGACTCTATAGGGAAGATATATATATATGTGTGTGTGTGTGTGTGTGTGTGTGTGTATGTATGTATGTATATGTATATATATATATTTATTTTAAGAAAGATGAAATGCATGTAATGATCCTAGTTTTACTCTAATGAATAAAAAGGTCATGGGCTTTGCATTTAGAAACTGAATCTTAGTCTACATTCTCCCACTTGTTGGATGCCTATCTTCAGGAATAGTACAATTTTCAGGAGTTGTTTTGAGACATAGCTTCTCCATATTGAGAATTTTTTTAATGATTTCTTTTATTTATGTGCATTTGTGTTCTGCTTGCATGTATGTCTGTGTGAGGGTGTCACATCCCCTGGAACTAGAGTTATGTTGAGAATTTTTTAACTTTAATATTTTTTTCATGTCTCTGTTTCTAGAGTGACAGTAAAGCTCTGTTACTGAGTTTTATTTTGTAAATTTTATTTATGTGTATGTCTGTGTGTCACCTGCATGCCTCAGAGTCTAGAAGGGGATTTCTGGTTTCTGATACCTTGGGAGTGGAGTTGACGCTGCTGTGAGCTTCCATGTCAGGTGCTGGGCTTTGAACTCTGGTTCTCTGGGGAAAACAGCCAGTGCTTTTAACTGCTGAGCCATCTTTCAGCTCCTATTAACTGAGTTTTATGTTAAGCCATATTATATAGATAATTTCAGATATTCCTGCTCATCTTTTTGTTTTGCTAGGATGGGATCAATCAGATAAGTTTGTGAAAATCTACATTACCTTAACTGGAGTGCATCAAGTTCCCACTGAGAATGTGCAGGTACACTTCACGGAGAGGTATGTTCTCGTTACTGGAAGTATAGCTATCATTGCTTTATCATAGGAATTGTCTTTCTGTACGGCTTCCAAAATTCTGCTGAAACTTAGCGTTAACTACACTTTTACTTTAAAGTGGAACAACCAAGTCTACATACTAATCCAGTTGTTCTCAACATGTCACAGCCCCTTTGGAAGGTCAAGTGACCCTTTCACAGTGGTTACATATCAGATATCCCACATAGCATATGTTTTCATTGTGATTCTTAACAATAGCAAAAGTACAGTCATGAAGTAGTAATGAAATACTTTCATGGTTGGGGTCTCCACAACCATGTATTAAGGGTCGCATTATTTAAGAAGGTTGAAAACCACTGCCTTAAACCAAAGCTGGTGACTTACTGTCTCAAGAACCATAGAATAACTATCACAGAACCAGAAAGATAATGAATTCTCTGTTGTTTGTAGGTCATTTGATCTTTTGGTAAAAAATCTCAATGGCAAGAATTACTCCATGATTGTGAATAATCTCTTGAAACCCATCTCTGTGGAAAGCAGCTCAAAAAAAGTGAGTGTTTGTGTGTGTGTGTGTTGTAAAAACTTCAATTACATTAAATCTAGCTGATTAGGTCAGAGATGAACTAAAATTTTTCTGCTGTATCTGGTACCAGTAAAGTGCAGTTCACAGCTTGATGTGTAAGTAGTTTGTTACTGGAATAATCATTCTTTATCTTTTGGTGTCTGCTTCTCTACTACAGTGGCAAAATAAATCATTTAGCCCATGAAATGTAAAATAAGTAATTTGCTGTTTGGCCCTTTGAAGAAAGTTTGCTAATTTGTTGTAGAATATATTAAAAGTAAGGGGAACTGTTTTTGGTGATTAAGAGTGAGTTTTATTGCGAGCTTTATATATCCCTTAGCAGTTGTGGCCCCTGGTAGTTCTTTGTGCAGTGGTAATTTCACAAAGGAGGAATGATATACTGATAAATAAATAGGAAGTACTAACATAAATAGTGTTAGTTGTATTATATGTAAATTTGTGATGCATATAAGGATCTCTGAAGTACTTTGCTTAATTGTTGAAGTTGTAAAAAAAAAACAAGGAAGTTTTCATTAAAAAAAATCCTGTTGCTCATACTTTTAACAAACTCATGCAATCCCTTTTTTCTTTCCAGTTTAAAAAATGGTGTTTAATATATCAGATGTATAGACATGTAATTCTTCTATGTTATGTATTTGCTTAAAAGTAGTAATAAAAGCAATGTGTTAAGTATTCAGTTCTTACTACAGTAGCATCGTTTGTTAGTCTCATAATCAGAGGAATAATCAAGGCATCTTGGAGTTACACACATTTTGAGTTAAATGTTATTTCCCTTCCTTGCTCTCCTTTCAGATACTTTACCATCTATTTTTCTTTAAATCATCAAGATTTACCCAGTCCTTTCAATACACTACAACTGTTTCATCTAGGAGCTATTCTTTGTTTCATTTTGCTTTTTGAGACAGAGTTTCTCTGTAGCTTTGGCACTTGTCGAATTTGCTCGGTAGACCAGGCTGGCCTCAAAAGCAGATATTCACCTATCTCTGCCTCCCAAGTGCTGGAATTAAAGGTGTGCACCACTGTCACCCGATGGTATTTTTTCTGCTATGCTAGGTGTCTATGGTGTCCTCCTTTTGGGTTTTAGGTTTCACTTGGTTCACATTTGACTCATTGAAGCCCTTTGTAATGAAGTTCTTCCCACACTTCCCATTAACATTCTCTTTTAAGTCGTTGTGTGTATATGTACATTATGATGCATATGTGGAGATCAGAAGACAGTTTCATGTCAGTCTTCACTTTCCACCTTGTTTGGGACAGATAATATTCTTGGGTCACCACTATATGTACCAGGCTACCTGGCCTACAAGGTTCTTGGATTTCCTGTCTCCATCTGGCCATAGGAGTGCTGGGACTAATTGTGTATGACTACTACACCTGGCTTTTTTTTTTTTTTTTTTTTACTTGGGTTGTGGATGTCTGAATTCAGGTCCTTGTGTTTGCATTAACATGTTGTCCTAGTTAAGCTGTTGTGGTAAAATACCAAGGCCAAAAGTAACATGAAGGGAATTCAAGGCAGAAACAGAAGCAGAGGCCATGGAGGAAAGGCCATGAAGTAAGAATACTGGCTTGTTCTTTGGTACTTGCTCAGCTTTCTTAGGCATCCCAAAACTACCTGCCCAGGGATTATATAGCCCCTGTCAATCAATCAAGAAGATGCCCTACAGACTTGCCAGCAGTCAATCTAATAGAGGTACTTTCTCAGTTGAGGTTCCTCTTTCTAGTTACTCTAGCTTTTGTCAGTTGACACAAAATCAACCAGAAAACATGCACGTGAGTTTTACCTACTGAACCAAGGTAGGTTCAGCTCAAGGATCTCTGGTCGCCCAGACAGTACTCCATTCCACTAAAAAGCTAAAGATAACTTTGAACTCCTAGTAATCCTACCTCTATCCCCAAAGTACTGGGATTACAGGTGTGTGCCACAGTGCCCTGTTTTATGTGATAGTAGGAATCAGACCAGAGCCTCATGAATTCTGAGCAAGCCTCTACCAACTGAACCATATCTCCAACCTTATGTTCAAGTCTTGATGGCATTAGCATTGAAGGTATTCAGGTTTCACTTGTTTGTATTCTGGCCTATAAAAGTATTACTAGCATCAAGAATGAATATTAACACATTAGGCACTTGATTGGGTAACAGCATTTTTTTTTTTTTTTTTTAATACTCATGCTTATTTCTATGTTACAAGCTCCTACTCCTCTCCTTTTCCAGGTGAAGACTGATACAGTTATCATCTTATGTAGAAAGAAAGCAGAAAACACACGATGGGACTACTTAACTCAGGTGGAAAAGGAATGCAAAGAGAAAGAGTAAGTTAATAATTTTAATACTTTTATCTGGGGTTATGGTTTCATTTTTATGGATAATAGTTGTACAAGCAAAGTGTTTATCACCTGCTGTCTTATATATGCTATCAACTATCAGAACCTTTCTTTTTGAGGATCTCTCTGGTATGTGGTTTGGCTGTCTTAGAACTTTTTAGGCTGTCCTTGATCCATCTGCCTCTGCTTCCTGAATGCTGGAATTAAAGATGTGTGCAACTACAGCCAGCCTATCAGAGCCTATTTGAGGAGGGCAAGGACCAGTTTAATTAAGACAATTCTTGTGTAGCTTATTCTTTAGCATTATTTTATTCCTGGGCATATTGATGTGTCTGTAGATATTATGGCCTGGTCTCAAATAAATCTGCTCTAGGAATTCAAGAAGAGTTAGCTATCCCCAAAGCATTTTATTCCTTACATGTTTCTGAGTTGTATAGTTGGTTTCACTATGATTGACCTATGATTGACTTTATGTGACAAGGATACTTTCTCTCTCTTTTTTTTTTTTTTATGCAGTTCAAAACTCTTTTGCCTCCCAAGTAATGAGAGTATATGCATTTACTACCATATCCAGTTTTACTTTTAAAAATCCTAACAGATGACTTCCACTGTGGATCAGTTTTGAGCTTACTCCTGTAATTGGCAGTGCCTTGTACTGAGTCAGTTACTCTTTTTTTTGGTCATTCCTCACTTGGTAGCCAGAATGCATTTGGGAAGTGGTAGAATAGTTAGGAATATTTGACTATTTGGGGAGTTGATTTAAATCTAAGCTTAAATAATGAGACCTATATAAAAAATTAATTGTAAAGCTGATTGGCTGTTTTGACATTCATTGAACTAGAATTGCTTACCACATTAATTTAAAGAGTATAACTCAACACTAGGCCCAGATCCCATAGATCTCAAGTTTAGTGGTTTTTCTAATAAAAATTTATTTATTTCATTATGCACCCATACCATAATACCTGCTTGTAGCAGTGTGAAGAACCATACTTGTAAAAATCAGTAAGTTGGAAAAATTATTCACATTTACATATTTTCTCTTGAAATCTTACTCCTCATGATTAGTCCTTGCCATTTGGTGCTCTTTCCTTGTGTGCCAGGTACAAGTGGGTATGCAGTTTTACGAGGCTGAACCTAGGCATGCTATTTTGGTTGTATATTCTAGCCCCCTTCTCTGTACTCTTCTTCCTATCAGCTACAATCTAAGAATGTCTTTCCATGCTTAAATTCTTCATTGTAGACTTGTTTTTGTTCACAGAAAGCCTTCCTATGACACTGAAACAGATCCTAGTGAGGGATTAATGAACGTTCTAAAGAAAATTTATGAAGATGGAGATGATGACATGAAACGAACCATTAATAAGGCATGGGTAGAATCTAGAGAGAAGCAAGCCCGAGAAGACACGGGATTTTGAGACTTTTAAGTCCTTTGGGAACTGTGATGTGGAATGCTCGTGTTTCCAGTAAGGGAATGTTGTTGAACTGCACATAAAATTTGAAAGATAACTATTTACACAGCCTTCTAAGTAAAGACAGCAAATTCTCCATTTCTTATTGGAGGGTCTGATTTAAATAAATATGCTTATTAAACTTTCTCCTTTATTAGCATCCTAGTCATTTTGTTTTTAAGAAAAGGTTATGGTATTCTTATTGAAATGTAAAAAGGAAATCTTACATAATAAAACTGTTACTTTTGTTCTGGCTGAGAGATAAAAAACAAAGTATTTGCCTGTCTATAACTGACAGCTCCCACTAATGCAAAAATAAAACCAAAATTTTTGCAATTCAAATTTGTACATGAACTTGCAAGTTACTAGAGACTCATCCATTATTATCAGCTTAAGCAATGTGTGTGCCATGTTTTACTATGTACTAATTGATTAAGTATATTTATGAAGATAAAATTTAAACAAAATACAAATGATAAAAATAGACAAACATGTTGGTAAGTACTACCGTGGATCAGTTAGCTTATAAAAATACAACCACAATGCAAAAGTTTGAAAATTCATCTATTCCTTTGTTCAATAAAGTTGAACTTTTACGTAAAAGATCAGTTTTGCTGTTTTGTAGTGTATTTAAAAAAAACTAGGGCTGGACTGATGGCTCAGCTGTTAAAGGCTCACCACCAAAAAGAGAAAGCAATTAGATGTCTAGAAGAAAAACCTAGTAGAATCACTACAACTACAATTAAGAATTAGGTAAAAGTCAGAACTTAATACAGAAAGGGTGGATGGAACTATAATGCCCCTAGAACTGTGGTATTGAAACATGAAATAGACTGATGAAACAAACTAGACTGCATATTAGAAGATTTAGAATACAGTAAGAGTGGTGTTTGGTAAGGGAAAATGAGTTGATAGCAATATAACTTAAAAGAGCTGTGTTGTTGATAAGTGTAAGCTACTGGCAACAGGTGAGCTTTAAATGTAAAGGTCAAGTTAGCCCTATCTGAACTCACTGATTAATATAAGCATTAAAAGTTGGACAGCTAGGGGCTAGAGAGGTGGCTCAGTGGTTAAGAACACTGGGTACTCTTCCAGAGCACATACATGGCAGCTCACAGCTGTTTATAACTAAAAAGATGAAACAAAAAACTAGTTAGCAGTCCTTTTATTCACCATCACACAAAGTTAACACTAAACATGATCTAAGATACCCTCTTTAACTCTTCCTCTATTGTTATTCCAAAAGTGAGAGTAACTGCAGGCCAGGGAAGCAAGCTGAGGGGTACAATGCCATAGAAAGGCAACTAGTCAATTAGATGGACATCTATAACTGTTTTGTCAAACCACTATTAAAAAACAAGTTATTTTACTAAACATCAAACTTGAAGGAAAACACCATTCTCCCACAGAAAATATTTTTATTCCTCTCTTAAACCAGTATGGGAGTAATATGTATATTGCATTTCTTCATTTAAAAACCTAAAAACAATTTAACTGTAGACAGTATCAGGTAGATTATGCAAACTAGACCCTATAAAAACTAGGGTTTGATCTTTTAGCCAGAATTGACTTCTTGGGCAGCTGAGTAGGTTCTGAAGCTGATTTACCACATTGCTCGCTGAACTCCAGAAAGTAGTCCATGGTCAGCTAAGTGGCGGAACACAATTCGACTAAGCCTCCAACGACGCTTTACACCACGTGGACGGGATGTCATAACACACCGATTTCTGATTCTCACAGGACAGCTATCCCGTGGAAGGGCAGCAATTTCTTCACTAGCTATTTCCTAGAGGGAAATCATAACATAGATCACAACTCAGACCTAAAGCAAAGGAAAGATGGGCTAGAATCTTAGCCAAACACTGGATGTGGCAGTAAGACTTAATCTTTAAGTGGAAACTGAGTAGAAATGATGTTTTTCCAAGATGTTTTAAAGATTACAATGAAAAGAATCCACAAACCATAATTGCAAAGTGTACTTTTATAAACAATATATATTGTGTAGCCAGCACTGAATTATAAATGGCATTACAGCATTTATCTGTGTCTCTTTCTAGGGGCACTGACTATCAGCTAGCATGTTCACTAACACTGTAAATACACTTCCCTGTTGTAAACTGTATCTAATATGCTCGTATAACCCTTTTTCTTTCTATTCATTTGTTTGGCTTTTTTATTTGACAATATGCTTGTGAGACCACCTACACTGTTCCAAGTGTCATTAATATGCTCAGTCTCCTTGGTGCTCATTTTATTCAGTGTGCTAGAATTCCTTGATCTTTTCTACAGCTGATGGAAATCTGAGTAGCTTCCAGTTTTGAGCTGTTGTGAATACTGTTCTATACATTCATGTTTAGATCATTTAGAAAAAAATATGTGAATGCATTTATTGCCTCCAGACAGACACATTAATTCTCTGAAGTATGAAAGCTTGAAACCTCTGAGTTGATGAAACAGTAGGAAAAACCATGGCTTGAGACTAGTAATAAGTTGGATCACCAAGAGCCTGAAAGTCTGACTACTGCAGAAATAAAGGAGGTGATCAAACAAGATTTACATGAAAAAAAAAATTGCAATATCCATGAATCTTGTACAAGTAATGTCTATGAAACTGCTAAGTGATAGGAAAAAGTATGACATATTAGGCTCAGGTTGTCAGTAAAAATTTATTGTTACATAATAGTGTGTTAGTATGTATTCTTATACCACTTTGTCAGATGTATTGGCATGTACCACTGACCCTATGATAGAATGTGGAACCAGGAGGCAGAGGCAGAGTTTGAAGCCAGCCTGGTCTACAGATCAAGTTCCAGGACAGCCAGGGCTACACAAACAAATCCTGTGTCAAATCAATGGGGGAGCAGGGGGGTAAGGGGGCAGGGAAGGAGAGTACATAAACAGATTAAATCATTCTGCCAATTTGCATAAATGTTTTGTTTTCTATGAACTTTCAGTAAGGTCAGTAGCCTTGAGTTTATAATTTACTACAAAGCTCTTCAGTGCACATATTCTGTCATCATTTAAGTGTAAAACCATATGCTGCAGAAGCCAAACAGGGTGACACCCTCTTATTTAACAGGAAGCACATGAGAAGAAAGTAAGACTAAATGGAAAACTGCCTAAACATAGACATGGAAAGGGCAAAAGTTCAGGAGGGCAGGCCCTGAGTAAGGACCACAGGTCATGGGTTTTATACCTAGTCCATGCATCAGCAATACCTACAAATGCCTTGAAAGTTCCAAGACGGGGATAAAATTGGGGAGACCTTTCATCAAAATACTTCTTAGTTTCTATGTGGTTGCCACTCAGTACTATGTAGGGATTGTATAATGAAATGGATGAAGAACCAGAAAAGAGTGAACAGTTATCCTTTATCCAAAACTTACCAAAGTTGGTTTTAAGACTATTTATGTAAACAAGTATTTGACCTTATTCTCCAGAAATTACATTAATACTAAGTTGCAATAAAACAGCATAAAAAAGAATCTGAAATAACATCAGTTAGTGGTTCTGTGGAAAAAAAGGTACTCAACTGGCTAACCTGAAGGTCTTTTGGCAAAATGGTATTCTTTCTGAGCGAATTGATCCGAAGTCTCTCATCTGCATATTCATAAGCAATTTTTCGTCTCTTCACATCACGCAACATTTTCCAGTCTACATAGTAACCTCGAACTTGACTTGATGTTGATGGAGGAACTGCCTAAAAGACACAGACAATGATCATGGGTACTATAAATGTTTTTCCAATCCTGTAAATTTGAGTCTTCTAAGCAATGAAAAATACTTACATTTATTTGCTTTATGTATGGATAGGCATGTTTGTGGAGGTCAGAGGACAACTTGTGAATCAGTACTGTATGTATGTGTATGGGCATGTATGTGGAAGTCAGAGGACAACTTTCTGTCAGCTCTGTCTTATACCACATAGGTCTTTGAATTGAACTAAATAGGCTTGGTGGCAAGCATTTTACCCATCTCACCAGCTCAAGACTTAATATTTTAAAATACTGATTTATTACATTTATGTGTGCATGTGCATACTATAACACATGTGAATATCAAAGGACAATTTGCAGGAATGTTCCTCTTTTTTTAACTCATTGTCCCCTGCCCCCAATCCCTAATGTTCTGATGACTTCAATGTTCCTTAATTATAAAATCAGAAGCAATGTCAGAATTCCCAAACTTCCCTACCTATCAGCTCAGCAGCGTTTGTACTACATTTTACACCCGCTCCGGTTATGTCAACTCTCTCTGTTAAAGTGGCCACTAGACATGGATATGGCTATGAGCAGCACATCTGAGGACATAATTCTTGACATTAATTCACTTAAATTTTAAATATCAAGCAACTTTGTTTTTAGCACAATTGCATTTTCCACTATATGATGCCAAATTTAGCATCCCAATAGCAATATGTTTTAAGTATAAGATTTTGAAAACCTACTTCCAACACAGGAATGTAAATGTCTCATAAATAACTATAATCTTGACTTGTTAAAATATGGATGGACATACCTGGCTAAAAATATCTATCAAAATTAACTGTAGCTACTTCTTTACTTCAGTTTAAATACTAGAAAAAATACCGATCACCCTTGTGGTTGGCTTTACATTTCTATCGAACAAAACTGCTACACGTGACCCGTATACAATCCTGAGATCAAGCTTCATACACAAAACCCAATGTCACCTCCAGCTTGCAAAGGCGAGCTCTGGCGATCCTACCCTGTTCTCTGGATCATCATTTCCCACTTTAGTGGATCTCCCCCTTTAAGATGTTGTTGATTATATCTAATATATCCTTATAATATGATGTTGCTTCTGTCATGGTAAAGGAAAAACAACTCAGGTCTCTCTGGCTGACACCCCTCCCTTGCAAAACTCTCCCGAAGACTTCTCCAGTTTCCGTACGCACCATAACACTGCTACTCCTCAAGTCTACAGTCAGCTTCAGCCCTTTAATAACCTTTCAGCTTTAGAGGAACGGCCTGCTCCCTGTTCGAAAACCTGTCATCACTTGCTTCCAAGCCACCGCATGTCTTTGGTTGTCTTCCTTTACAGACAGCTGTTCCCTTGCACAGTCAGAGCCTCTGAGGCCTCAATTCTCCAACCCCTTTTCTTCTCCATTTACACGCCGGAGTCAACCTCTTAGCTTTAAATCACAGCTCCAAGCTTAAATACCAAATTCTGGCTTGCCGCTTAGGCCTCTCCGAACTAAGCCGGAAGGGGAAAGCGCATGGAAGGAGCCCTGAGATCGGTCCTCCGTGTGCATGACAGTTGACAGGTACGGGGGAACCCACAGGACACGGGATTCGGGGGTGAGAAATGGGCTGGCGAGAAAGGCAAGGGCCTGACCTGCCGGAAAGTCCGCAGCAGCGAGCCCAGCAAGGACGCCGCCATGTTGTCTGCCTCGCCAGCCAACCACCGTCGCGATACAACGCCGGAAAGAGTTGTTTAAGGGGCGGGGCCTGTGGCTAACGGGGCGGGCCCGGGGCAGGATTTAACCTATGAGGAGGGAGGGGCTATGTACGGGATTTAAGCTCTCGCGGTATTTCACGGCAAACCATCCATTCGGCCCGTCTGCTCCGGAAAAGGTGGTGCAGTGAGCCTGCGCGCTGCTCATGGTCGGCTTTCCTTGTTGTTGCCCCGCCCAGCCTGCTCTTGCGTTCTCTGCACTGGCGCCACCAGGCGGAAACTTGCCAGCGTGTGTCACTCATCCTGCAGAACCCGCACTTGTCACGTGTCTGCCGTAGTGGTGGTGGAGCTGATGATGGCAGTGGCCCTGATGGAGTTTCTGTTTGCAAGTCTAGGGTTTTAATAATACACATTATATCTGTATCAAGGTTGTAAACGTTTTACTTTTTTATTTGATACTGAGTATATATGTGTGTGTTGGATGGTGAAGGTGCCATTGAAAACCGGCTGTTTTCAGTCTAGGATAGGGTAATTTTCTGAAATCCTAGCCTGCTTCATTGATGTGTTGATTTGATGAGGGACCACCCATTGAGATATTTACACAGGAACATCACAGGACAAAGGAGAACTTTTTCTTAAGTGATCCAATTGAACATTTCTTAAAAAAAAAAGTCATTTAACCTTAATTTATGGGCACGAAGGTATCGATCGGATCCTCTGAAAATGGAGTAACAGACAGCTGTGAGCTAACATGTGGGTGCTGGGAATTGAACCCAGAACCTCTGGAAGAAGAGACCATCTCTCCAGCCTTAATTGGACATTTCTAGCGGACTAGAGAGAGTCAGACTGAAGCCATCTGACAGGAGAAGACAACAGGAGCCCCTGCTGTCATACAAGAATCTAAAAATTCCTAGACCAACCCCCAGCAGGCAGGCATAGGTCTCAAACTCCTGTTTACACACTTCTGGAACTCCCTACAAATTGGTTGCAATTTATAGTCATCTCTAGACATGGCTATACAGCAAACACTTTTATTATCTTTTTTGTTGTTTTTAAGATGCCTGTTTCTGGCTGGGTGGTGGTGATACATGCATGTTTCCTTTAATTCCAGCACTTGGGAGGCGGAGGCAGATGAATCCCTGTGAGTTCAAGGCCAGCATGGTCTAAAAAGTAAGTTCCAGAAGAGTCAGGACTGTTAAACAGAAACCCTGTCTCGAAAAACAAGGAAAGAAAAAGTGATGCCTGTTTCTTTTTTAAAGGGAGACACAGAGAAGGTGTGGGATTGGATGGGCACAAAGGTAGAAAAATCTGGGAGAAGTTGAGAGAGGGAAGCCGTGATTGGAATATATTGTATGGATTTTTTTTTTTAATTTTCAATTAGGAAAGTTTTAAATGTGTTACTATTTCAGCGAAGTTTTCGGAAAGGGCTTAAAAGTCAGACACACTTATAGGCTATAAAATAAGAAATGAGTTTTACACAATTAAATTATTGCACAGACCTGTGGGATTTATTGCATCCCTAAAAGGCCAAGAAAACAAATTCTAAAGATCAAATATTTGCACTTAAAATATCTCTGAAAGTTAAACTTTTAAGTGCTTCATTTTTCCATATTATACTTCTTAATTTTTTTTCCCCAAATACAGTGCTTTCAAATCCCTAGGGATGAAGAGCATAAGAAGTCCCATACTAAGAACACAGAGAAAAAGGGCTGGAAAAACTGGCTGGAATTTGCAAGTTTAACACAGAAGCCACAACTTTACAAACCAAGCCTTGAGTATGTTGTGCATAGAGTTTGTACATTGTAGTTTGTCTGTATGGTTAAAGGTTGGCAACATACAAGATTATCCCTATCAGATTTTTCTCTTAAATTATGTTTATACCAAAACTATAGTTAAAGTGTTTATGTACTTGCTTATTATATCAGGTAGAGTGGAGATATGCATGTCTTTGATGGATGAGCACACACTTATCCAATGAACAAGCAACACATACCACATCTTCCCAACAATTCATGATAACAGAAAAATCTGCAAAGAAAATAACTGGAAACTACATTAAATACTGCTTTCACTAGGAATAATTTAATAAAAAGATGACAGTATACATTATTATTTTTTAGTGAGCTTTCAGTTTAAGAAACTAATTAGCAGAACTAAACCATAAGATTCTCTTTTATGATAAAATTGGCAATTTATTGAACACTGGGAGATTCCTGAGCAAAATCACAGACAATACATCCTTCATTTAGAGAAAAGATACCATATGATGTGAAGCCTAAGCCAACTAAGAAACTGGCCCAGTGAGTGAAGAGAAGCAATGACTGGTGACAGGTATGAAATAAACATTGTCTTGAACTAACCAACTGCTTACTTTTAAAATGGTTTTGAGTTTTTTTTTTTTTTTTAAAGTTGACGTACATCACTGTGATTTCTTAGAAATGAATCAGAAGATTCCAGAGCCCTGCTAAGCTTGGAGACACAAAGGGAATGCTGAGCAATGAGAAGTCATTCCAGACATAGAATTGTGGGAAGGTAATCCTGGGACTAAATGGCACTGTGGTTCTGGCAGCAGATACCAAGGACTGGTGCTCTGGAAAGTGGGTGGGGACAGTTTGCCACTGGCCAGTGGAAAGACAAAGACCCAACTGTAATTCTTTAGTTCACCTTCTGCTGCTCACACTCGATGTCTTCTCTGTGGAAATTTCTTTCTTCTTTTTTTTAAAAAAACTTTATTGATTCTGGGTGGAGTTCACATCATGCATCCTAATTCCACTCATCTCCCTCTCCCCTTCCTTCCACCCTCTACCCATGCAACCAGCCCCCTCTCTATGGCAATTTCAATAGCTCAAAATCTATTAATGGGACCTGTGGGGCTTGGGGAGAATGCATCTTCTCCCTCTGTTCTTGAATGTATTTGAAAATGCTTCAAAATCTTCCCCTAAAGAGTTTCCATGCACAGGAAGCTAAATAAGCTAAGAGCCTTCAAGATAAAACTGACCCTCAAGTTTCTCTGCTTCCACATTAAAGGTAATGTAGAAATCAAACTTTCTTCAAGCATCTGCTTATCAATATTGTTCTCTGGCTATCCCCATCCCCACCTCCTCCCACCCCACAACCAGGAACTTGATCTGGAGCTGGCTATAGATACCACTGCTATAGTCTTATTAAATGTATACCTTCCTGGACACCAGTGCCTGATGCAGCCTTTTGGAGAGGATTTGCTGAGCTACCTACCCTTCTGCCCTTCAACTGCTATCATACCACCTTTATCAGCTTTCTTTGTGTAAAACTAGTTTTGAAGACATCTTTTCCCATGGTAGGCTGTTTTTATCCTGCATTATGGAATGACAAGGAACATGGCCAAGAATTCATTTCCACAGTGTCCTAAGAGCTGTCAGGAGAATTATAACTGTCTAGCACAGGAAGGGCACAGGGCCTTCCTGGGAAGTAGCTAGAAAGACTTCAAGCCCTAGGAGCCAGGTAAATCTGATCAATTTCTTTGTTGAAAATGGCAAACTAAGCTAAGAATGATAATGCCTAGCTGCAGTGTCAGCTCTTGGGAGATAGATAGAAGGATCAAGGGTTCAAGGCTAGCCATCATGGGCTACAATAAGAGTTCAAAGCTACAATGAGTCCCTGTCGAAAAAGAACAAAAACATAAGTAAACAAACAACAGCATCAAAAGCAATGGCTAATTGGTAGCAAATGGAAAAGTATCCCAGGATGTGGTGCTCTCAGGCCTGATAAGATAAGTACTCATGACTTACAAGCTTTTGGTACTGTTTATCGATTTATTATAAGGAATAGAGATGGAGGAGATGTATAAGGCAAGACATAAGAGATGAGACACAGAACTTCATGCCCTTCCTGCTCTCTAGGAACTCCACTTCCTTCATCCAAAGTCCAGTGAGTTCCTTTAAATAGCATTAGTAGTAACTATTAGAGTATAGTAAAATATACATAATGTTTTCGTCTATTTCGTACTTCTATAAAGGATACCTAACACTGGGTAATTCATAAAGAACAGAGATTTAGGATAGGGATGTAGCTCCATTGATAGAGAGCCTGCTGTATGAGGGTGTATGGGGAATCCATGGTTAGATCCATAATGCTACATAAACTAGGCTAGTGGTTCATCCCAACACTTGGGAGATGAAGGTAGGAGGCTCAAAAATTTAGTTACACAAAGTCTGAGGTCAACCTGGACTTTATGAGACTGTGTCTCAGAAACAGCAAAAAAAAAAAAAAAAAAACCAAGTGCTATCAGACCACTGGAACTAGAAGTGTAGACCCTCATGAGCCATCATGTGGGCACTGGAAATTGAACTCAGGTTCTTTGGAAGAGCAGTCAGCTTAACCACTGAGCCGTTTCTCCAGCCCCATGTGGGGACCTTCTTGCTGTATTATCACCACAGCAAGAGAATGACAGAAGAATCAGATTCACTGAAATAGCAAATCCACTTTGAGCTACGTGGTGGTGGTGCACGCCTTTAATCCCAGCACTCGGGCAGCAGAGGCAGGTGGATCTCTGTTATTTCAAGACCAGTCTGGTCTACAAAGCTACACTGAGAAGCCTTGTCTCAAAAACAAAAAACAACAACGACAACGACAACAAAAACAGAAGGCAGCAAGCCACCTCCATCACATGGTAGTAATCTATTAGAACATAATTTAATCATCTCTTATGGCCCGACCTCTTTGTGGCTTAGGGGGTCAAACTTCAACATATAATATAAAGTTATCCATCTTAGCCATTTCATAGATACAGGTCAATGGCACTATCTTCATATTATTTTGCCAACTGTTCCTACTACTTACTTCCCACCATTTACTTACGCCCTCTTCTGGCCTTTGTGGGTATTTCATGTATGTGGCAAACAGACATATACAGGCAAAACACCCATACACATAAAATAAGAATAAGTAAAAAAGGCCCTTGTCAGATCTGGGCCCCTTCATGATATACTTTTGAGCTTCCAGAACATTAGGAAATACATCTCTGGAATTGGTGTTTGTTGGTTCATCTTTTGAGACAGTGTCTTGTGGAGCCTGGGCTGGCTTCAAACTTCCTGTGACT